TTCCTGCTTTGGAATGCCCACTGCTGCTCTTCATATGGTTTTGTCATTGTTATTGGAGCAAATGTTAGAAAGCACACAGAGGCAGACAATGTAAAAAACCCACCACACGCCATGAAAAATCTCTATGTGACTTAGGACTATTCTCAAGGTTGCCCTTTGCTTCAACTTTAATGACAAAACTGGTACTATCAAAGTCAACACAAGACATATCTGCTCTGCTTTACACATGCAAAGTATCAGTAACCACCTTCAGACTGAGCTGGGCATCTGCTGGGTGTTTCCATATACGTATGTATCTTCTTTGAAGCTTACACATAGTTTAAATCAGGTAGAAGCTTGGGTATTTCAGATTTGATGTTTGTGTATTTATTTGTTGGCAGCATCTAGAATATGTGGGTTCCCCTGAGATTAAAAAGAGAAGGAACTGGCACCTTTGTCTTTTGTGCCTGTGACGGAGAAAGTAACTGAATTGCACTACTTGTCTTGGGCAATTCTTTCCCCCGCCTTCTCTCCTACATCTTCCATTTTCCTAGAGTGGAATTTACTTGTTGATGATAGATGGGCCATGGAATAGCATCAGTGTTAGACATGAAAAACTCCTCTTTCTGGTCAGAATAGGAAATTTATGCAAGTTAGGTGGTTTATCATCTTAACATAGTAAATAATGGTTCCCTCAGGTCCTTCCTAACACTTCCCTTTCTAATCCACCAGATGGATTCTGTTGGTTCTTACCCTAACTATTGCAGCTAATATAAGGGTATGAGTACGTCAGATCCTTCTAGAAGTAGGCAAGCACATATTTTATTCTTACATATTCACTTAGAACTTGTTATTATGCTGCCTCCTATGTTTGTCCTTTTGGTATCTTCTCTGTGTCTGTTAATTCCTTCAGGAAAGGAACATTTATATTCTATACAAAGGTATGGAGAATATAATTTGCAAACAGGCAATATGTCTTTTAAAGACTGTTAGCAAGGCAGGCCCTATAGTGTGGCAATTAAGCCTTGTGCACAGGGAGCTGGATCCCATATGGCTGACTATGGTCCAATCCTGGTCCGGACTTGAGAAACATGCTAGGCTCATGTGTGTGTGTGTGTGTGTGCCCAAAATTCTGACAGGATGGAGAAACAGAGAAAAAGGACTACAGTGTGACTATGTCCCATTGAGGATACCCTCTCTGTTTTGTATGCACGTATGTACCCTGGCAGCAATTAAAAAATAATATTTGTGAACACAGTCAGCTGTAAATGCTATCTTTTGGGGGGAAATGAAGATTTAAAAGGACTAACTAGAAGTCAGAGTTGTAGTTACACTGATCTTAAAGACTAAAAAGCTACCTACTTCTAAGCAACCTCTACAGCATTACCAGCATCATCTGAAAAAGCTCAGACTGCAGACTGTCTAAATACCCATCCATCTCACACTCCCCATGTCACCCTTTTTTTCTTGTCCATTTTCTACTCTAAGATTTCTGTTGTGCCCTTAACCTCTCCTTATTTCTTTGTTCTCTTTTTCTCTTTCATGGTTAGCTTTCTTGCTTTCCCATTCCAACTGCCACTTTTCTTGACAGAGCAATACTAGCTTTTATGTAGTTACTGTGAAAAAGCAGATGACCAGAAGAAATTCACCTGTAAGTGGCAGTTGCCACTAACACACAGAAGCACTCACTCAAGATGGTTTAAAGGAGACAGTGACTCAACGTATGACTGGAAAACAGAGCAATTCAGCCAAGTATGAAAGGAATTATTTTCTAATAATTTCTCCAAAAGACTAACTGTTGATTAGTATATACTTGATTTGATTTTCAAAACTAGTTATTTTTGGAAGGGGAAAGAGGTGTGAAGCAAGAGGGGAAGGGGAAATTTTTTTTAGAGCCTCTAATTAATACAAGTGCCTGCTTTCAGCAAATCCTTCATTTGAGCTATCTCTTTTCACTTTTTCCTGTTGGATGCGTGTGGCACTTTAGAATTCTTGGTTTCAGCAGCAACCCAAAAAGGCAGAATTGCAAGCTTGCACATCAAAAATGGAAAGAAAAAAAAAAAGCACCATGATTTGGAACAAAAACTAAAACAGACTAAAACAAAAATACAAGCAGCAAAATAATTGAACCTAATGTATAGTATCTTTTTGAAGACAGGGAGGTTAGTTGGTTAAATATTATAGTGATATTTTACAGTGATCTTATAGTTATGATCTTATCTTTGAGAGTTTAAATGTTTAAGAATGCACATCCAAAAGCGGCACATGTAGAAAAACCATGGTAGCCAAGAGAGATCTGAACTACTGCTGCCTGGGCCACCCTATTCCAATCAACGTGGATTTCCAGAGTTGCTGTTCTATGGTAACTCTCAGTGAGAGAGACAAAGAAATAGAACATTTTTAGAAACCAAGCAAAAAAATGGATGGGAATACAATACCTGGAAAGTTTATCAAGCATGTTGACAAGTTTCATGGCTTCATATTCTTTTTGTTCTTCTGTCATTTCATCTATGGGGTTTGGCATTGGTTCCTCTAAATGACCAGTGATAAGATTAATGCTACAAAAAGAAAAAAAAGTTATGCTGTATGTTTTAAAATTATGCTCTTTCTATACTTTTCTGGTCCAAGTTTTAAATTATAATAAGAAAGAGTATAATAGCCAAAAAAATTGGCAATAATTTCAGTAATAATTTTATGGAACTATTATAGGACTTTGTAAAAAAATCGACTTTTCCTACTAATTTGCTTTGGGAAATAGGCTATTAGGTTATTGTTTTAAAAAAAAACCCTAAAATTGACTTGCCAACTTTTATTTTGTAAAGCATGGTTGATTTTTAAAAATACACAATTTGATTGGTGCCGTCAGGATAAATATCCTTGGATGCACAACTTTTTCATTAATTATAAGGGGACAAATCATTTTAGAGGAGAAATGATGAAATCCATTTTGTGATACAGCATAAAACAAATATGTAAAAAAAAAAAAAACAACTGGAAAAATGATGACAGAGAGGCTGCAATCTGGAAATGAAAGCATGCCAATTTGTAACTTCAGGAAATTAGTCCATTAGTGAGACCAGAGAGGGCAATGAATGTTTAAATAGTAAAAGATAATGCTGAAGAACAACTGTAATTAGAGTTGATCTGACCTAAATAAAGAAAGGGATGAAATCTTGTCTACCAAAAGATAAACAGACCACCTTGGCATTCTGGAAATAGATTTAATACAGTACTTAAAATGAATACCTTTCCATAAGCTTTGTATAAAGTTCTAATAACAAGCAAACTATTCTTGTAGATAAAAGCTGTACTACTCCACCTCCTTCCCCCAAGAGAGAAATAAAAGATAGTAATTTGTTCAATGGTTGCTAAATATCTATAACTGAAAACATTTTTCTGGAGAAACAGATGAGACATTATAGTATCTTCTATCAGCTAAGTACAGATGGTTTGTTTTTAATGACTAAACAACATATCCCTACAAATAGCAAATTGCTAATATATTACTTTCCTGAATCTATAAACGCAATGTTTTTAGGGGCCTGGCCTTTGGGATAAGCAAATGAACGAGTGAGTGGATCAAGCATAAACAACCTGGAGTGTTGGAGATTGTGGTAAACTGAAAATAGTGCTAGTCTAAATTAAAAGGGGGAAAAAAAATCACATGGTCCAAAACAAAGAAATCACAATCAATTAGATTCTCTGGTGGCTAGCCTGAAACCCCTGCTTGACACTTTTGCTTGGGCAAATTACTTTCTTTACTGACCAGGACTTTTCTCATAAAAACGACTCACTATATATTATTACCTATTTTTCTTAGATTTCCTTTTCTTTTTCTATGTACCCAGAAGCTACACAGCCTACAGCTTCTTGTACAAGTACTCAGTGCTCGCCATCCTTGAAAACATGATTTAAAACCTTGCTTGAAGGAGAAGCAGATGGCATAATGGCTATGTCACTGGACTTCCATGTAGTAGAATGCAGTTTGAGTCCTGGACCTGGTGACTTAACCTGCAGTGCATAAGTACCCAAAATCCCGACAAGAGAATGGAGGAAAAGGGATTGCAATGGCATGGCTATCCCCGCTGGGGGGTGATTCCTCACTTTCTCTTTCTGGCGAGCATACATGCCTCATGGCAAAAATCTCTATTAAAAACAAAAACAACCACCAAAAACGTCTTGCAATTCTTACATAAAAGCTATGTCTGTAACCACAGTTAAAAACTTTTTTTTTTCTGGGCCAGTAGGTGGCATGGTGGTTAAGGCACTGAACTCCAACTTGTCCAATGCGGTTCAAGTCTTGGACCTGGCGGCTTGCTTTCTCACTTTCCCTTTCTGTCCCTGAAATTTGTCCTGTAGCAAATTCAACAATAATAATTAAGTAAATAAATAAAATTATATAAATAATCTTTCAAAAAGTTCCCTCCCTTTGGAAGCCAAATGTGATAAAACATATTAAAACAGTCCCCCCACTTCTTCTGCTTAAGTAGAAGAGAGATTAGGGATAGCCATGAATGACCTAAAGCCCCTTTTATTTGTCCCCTACCTACTTGCTCTTAAGGTAGACCCTAAGGCACTTCCAGGAACTCTGGAGCAACCTGAAAATCTACTGGCATGTCACTGATTCTTAGCCTTGGCTGTACATTAGAACTGCTTAGGATGCTAAAGAAAATGTTTGGGGGACCAGCAGATGGTGTAGTGGCTATGTCGCTGGACTCCCATGTAGTTGAGTGTGGTTTGAGTCCCAGACCCAGTGTTTTAAACTCATGCAAGGTGCATGTGTATGCGTGCCCAAGATCCCAAGGGGAGAATGGAGGAGAAGGGACTGTGGTGTGGCCATCCCCCCTGGGGGGTAATTTCTCTCTTTCTCTCTTTCTGTCTCTATCTTTCTGGCAAGCACAAGTGTCCTATAGCAAAAACCTCTCCAAAAAAAGAAAGAAAAGAAAAAAGAAAATGTTTGGGCCTCACCTTAGACCTACTAAATCTGTCTGTGTGTCCATGTGTGTGTACTTTTTTTTTTTTGGAAGGGTTTCTGGTGATTCTGATACACAATGTAGTTAACTACTGGACTTGGGACCAGCAGTTAGCGTAATGGCTATGTCACTGGACTCCCATGTAGCTGACCGTGGTTCGAGTCCTGGATCCAGTGGCTTAAACTCACGCCGGGCACGTGTGCGTGCGTGTCCAAGATCCTGAGAGGAGAATGGAGGAGAAAGGATTCCGGTGTGGCCATCCTCACTAGGGGGTGATTTCTCACTTTCTGTCTCTGTCTATCTGGTGAGCGCATGTGCCCTATAGCAAAAACCTCTCCAAAAAAACAAAGAACTACTGGACTAGAGCATCTGCTTCAAAAACTCATTGTGAGCTACAGTATCTTCTCCTTTCTCAAGTGTTCATAAAAAGGAGAGAGAAAGCCTCTAGTTAAGAGTCCATCAATAAAACTGCAGGATGGTTCATCTTACTTCCCAAAAGTCTAGAACATAGAGGACCCAGACATGGCTTCTGAGAACTATGCCCCACTGAAAATGCAATTCCACCATCCATCATCTGTTCAGGCATATGACAACACATCTCTTTTCACTGGTTTCTCTTTTCCTCTGCCACCTGCTAAATTAAAAAAAACTACTAGTCTTATAAACAAAGGTATGCATTATAGATATACTAATTCCCAAGAACAAGGAAATCAGGTTAGAGAGTGTACAAGGAAAGGCAGGTGTAGTAACTATGTAGATCATACTCATTTCCCTCTTGAAAGAAGGTTTTTGCCTCAAATTCACTGGAGATATGATTTTAAGTCAGATCTATAGACTGTTTCAGGGTATAATGACACTGCACAAGCCGTCATGTGCCTCAGGGAAAAAACGTGTCAGGAAGATAACAATGGTAACCTCTGTGGTACTGTGTGTATCGTTACATACAAAGTCAGAATACGAATTCCTGGATTAGGACACATTTTCTTGGTTCTCTTGAGAGCTTAGTGGAAATGATGTTTGTTTTTCATAAGCTGACCTCAAGTCCCTTGGCTGCTAAAATGATTTAACAACTTGCTCTGAAATTAGCAAATAACAAAATCCTTTGCTATCTGAGCATAAAAGCAGCAGTCAGAAATTCATTCTTACAGAATAGGAATGTATCCTTTACTCATGGAGCAAATAATTCAAAACCACACTCCTAAACCCCCAACGTTACTCCAAGGATTCAAGTTTCACTTTTTTTTTCTTTAAGAATACATTTTCCCTCTTGCCACTCAGGAGAATATAAACTAAGCCACAGAAACACATATGAGGTGTTCAGCACCACTCTTTTGGAAAAAAAGGCCAATGTACTATGGCAGAAGGCAGATGATGCCACCTCTCCTCCTGCTCCTCCCTTCAAGCTAGAGTTTCCTATCCAGAGAGGAAAAACCACCATCACCATGATAACAATAATGTAAGGTTTCACAAAATAAATTATTTTCAGTTAAACAAATACACCTTTACAACCTTAAGAAGTACTGTCTGAGACTTAAAGTTACAAATTTCAGGATCTTAATACTATGAAATGTTGGGGTTACTTTTATTTTGTTCCAGGAAGTGTTTTTTTACTAACTGTGGTGGGTATTTCTTTGAGTAATTATATTTATCATGATTTCTCCCACTTTGTCTTTGCTCCTCTCTCATCTTCCCAGCATTCCAATCCTATGATTATTTAGGCCTTCTAATTAGGTTACGAGAAGTGTTTAAACTCTCATGTGGTATTTCACCATGAATGGTGTATTACATAAGTATACCATATGAACTGACAACAGCTACAGGCCTAGAGACAAAGAATTAAGACATACTAAAAAGGTACGAGCAAATGAACACACGAATAATAGCTGAAATGTATTTCAAGTATTTTGCTCTTCAAATTGTTGCTACTTTTGGCTAACATCAATAACACAAGAGCCATTAAAAGTTTTCTTAGTCATATGACAATTAACTTCAACCTCTAAAAAGTGTGGTTTAAATTTTCTTCAAAGCATTCCAATTAAAGAAAGGGACCTAGGGACCAGCTGATGGCATAGCAGTTATGTCCCTAGACTCTCACATGGCTGACTGTGGTTCAAGTCCTGGACCTGGTGGCTTCAAAACCACACCTGGCGAGTGTGTATGAGTCCCAAGATTCCAGGAGGAAAATGGAGAAGGGATTGTGGTGTGCCCTCCCGCCCCCAGAGGGAGGGTGATTTCTCACTTTCCCTCTCACTCTGCGTGCCTTAGAAAATGGCACTTTGTGCAGTCCAGACCAGAGAAGAAGGAAGGCTAGGTGGGCGAGGAAGTTTTATATAAGAATTGAAGTTAAAATTTTCTTTCAGGAAAAAAAAAAAATCTTAGAATCTTTGGTTCTTCTTCCTCCCCTCCTCACCCAAACACAGAGAACAGAATTAAAATGTACCATATTTTGATCTTCTCGAATTTCATTCCTTGGCTTCCACTCCCTAATTTGACAGGGAAGTCTGACAGGAGTAGAAAACTCAACCATTGTGGGTATACTAATAGTAAAGGGCTGACGGATGCAAAAAATTAATTTGTTCAACAAA